ACCAGCCCCTTATGAATTCTCCTGTAGGTTGTGGGCCCATGGGAGGACGTCCCAACATCGCTCATTTGGGCTAAGCCACCAGGCGCTCGCATTCAAGCCCCAACCCCGGGCCTGGTTCCAGGGTGGGGCCCCGGTTGCGCCATACTGGGCGACGTCACGGTCCTTGATTGTAATCTTTTCATAAAGGGTTCGTCACCTAGGACCCGTTTTCCTTGGGAGACCCTACCAGGGGCGTATAGCCCCTGACAATATAGCGCCTAGGATCATTCGGGTACTCAAACCCCTCCACCACGATAAGGTGGCGGTTCAAGGAGGGGTGAATAAAAAGGGGGTTAGCACTCCCCTTGACAAGGATGTAAGTGGCCCCTGTCGCCTGCAACACACATATGGTTAAGGCATTGCCACCTACTTCGTGGCATCTCTAACCATGTTTTTTTTTGTTGTTGTTGTTGTTGATGAATAAAATGTAATTCAACATAATAAAATTTGATTCCACATCACAGGATTGGTGGAATTCAACCTCTTTTGCCAATTACTATCGCACATGTAACACAGTGGTCCATGACTGGCTGTACTACTATGTGTACCAGGACTTTCTGTTGGTGAGTGTTTCTGATGCAGTACAGTCTTTAAAACCACAGTAACCACATTCATGTTTATAGTTTTAATTTGCTAGTTCACATTGATGTCCCCTGTGACCTCTGGGTACAAAATCCAGTTAAAAATACCTTAAACACATTTTCCAAGTTATTCCTAATGTAAAAATGCACAGATCAGATGAAACCTCTGTCCTGCTGATGTTTTTGACATGTCTGTTCTCTTTACTGTTGTCATTCCAGATGTCTCGGAAGCGTTTCAAACCAGCAGCCATGCTGTTGGTATTTACGATGTCTGCAGTGGCCCATGAGTACATTTTGACCCTCTGCTTAGGTTTTTTCTACCCTGTGATCTTCTGCCTTTATATGGGCATTGGAAGTAAGAAAAAAACACAACTACACAGCTTGCTGTCACTGCTTTTAAAGAGTGCCTTAAGAACATAGACATATCATCCAAAATACTTCTCAAAATAAATTTGTCATTTGATCCAAATATTGCTTGAAAATTCAGCTGAATTTAAAAGAAAAGGATTATGTCTGGGTTATCTTACTCATTAGGAGTCAATGCTTTTATCGTTTCATTATGTTTCCACACTTGTCTTCTCCACTGTGTCACAGTAATGTTCAACTTCATTATACATGATGGAAGAAAAGGTCCCATCTGGAACATTATCTTGTGGATGTCCCTCTTCCTGGGTCAGGGGATCAGTGTCTGTCTGTACTCCCATGAGTGGTATGCCCAACGCTACTGCCCCCTGAAAGAGGTAATACCGGCAAAATTTCTTTGTTGAACCTGCTGATACTCGGTCTTCTAAACATGTGGTGTGTTTTCCCTTATGGATACAGTGTAATTCATGTGAAAGTTAGTTTTAGGTTTGTCAGCTTAAGTGTAGCCATAGCCTTAGCTTCATATGGTGGTGTTTTTGTTTCAGCCTTCCTTCTTAGAGTTACTGAAGCCTCGCTCCTGGAGCTGTCAGAGAGGCTCGTTGGTGGACCCTGACGGGCTGTGACCTACGATTCAACTATCGCTGAGAACCATCACTGATCAAATCTAAAAGTTCATGCTATACATACAACCAAAAAAAGATTTGGCATTTCTATAAGTGGGGTCAAATTATGGAATAATTTAAGTGTGGACATGAAAAACAGTACTAGAATTGAGGAGTTTAAATATAAATGTATGTGTCATTCAAAATATATGCAAGAATAAGAGATTTAATCATGAATGCATGAAGGAAACACTCTGTTTTAAAATTTCTGTGTATTACTTGTCTGGTGAAGAAGAGAATTACCTATGTAGAGATACTGCTTGCAGCCAATGATGCATGAATAAGATGATGTTATGGGGTAGGACTGGATAAGTCTGACTTCTTCCTACTCCATTCAAACATGTACTAGGTATAAGCAAACTGATTTGACAGACTGTATGAATGTAGAGAAGAAGTCCAGTAAGTATCTGCCAAAAAGCTTTTTACTCTTGTAGCAAAGTCACGGTGATGCCTTATTAGTGGTTTCAAAGGCAACCCCACAACAAAAGTACAAGTTCACACAAAAACCACATGTTAACGCCTTTATTTATTCATTTTTCAGACCTATTCCCATAATTTTTGCCTTGATCAACTGTGAAACCACTCCTTGTGCCAGTATGATAGTGGCAATAATAATGGCAGCTGAATACAAACATTACACAATACAATGTCCAAATATACAGTAATGGGTGATATTTAACAAAGTTTTCCATTGCTGCTCTTTTCTAAAGTACATTTGGTATGTTTCTCAAAAATCATTTGTTAGTTATTTTCACTGCCAGCAAAATTTATTTTGAAAAATGGCCACTGTTTGGTGTTTTGTATAAATCTATGAAGTGTGGCTCTGTAGTGGGGTCTGTATTATAACTTGTTTTAATTGTGAAAATTATGTAGAGTGAGCTGTCCCTGGTAGGCTAGTGGTTAAGGCGCAGCGCTCTCGCCGCTGCTGCCCGGGTTTGAGTCAGGGTTGCGTCAGGAAGGGCATCCGGTGTAAAACGTGCCAAATGTCAACATGTGAATCGTCAGTGTGACGATTCGCTGTGGCGACCCCTAAACGGGAAAAGCCGAAAGTGACTTTCTTTTTATTTAGAGCGAATCTGAAACTATGATGATTCAGGCCTGCAGCTTTTATACCTGAACTCTGTCAAGCCACAAGTTGGGAAGTTCATCAAAAATCATGACACTCAACTCCATAAAACAAATGTTTAACAAAACGGAGATGACAGTTGTGCTGTATAGAGTTAATATATTTAGTGACTGCCAGATATATTCCCAATTATTCAGCTGATCTAGTTTGAACATGCTTTTAGTGTCATAGTGAACATTTCTTGTGAACCTAAATGATGTTTTATTGTGGTCACAATCATTGAGTACAGTGGTTTCAGCTACAAGGTGAAATCCCTACAGAATTAGTACAGTACAACAGTTGCAGCTGGCTGCTAGATTGTCAGAACACTGAGTACTGATACTTGATTAACACTAAGGCATACAGTTCCGTTTGTTAGATACTCTGTACATAAATTGAGACAATATTTTACTGTGTAAATTACACAGCTATATGTTTTACAGACCAGTGATTTTTTATTTATGCCAGAACAACAAAATAATGAACTTATATGCTGAATGTGCTTTTAGTTTTTATATTTGAAGGAAGTTGCAAAATCAATCCTTCTGCATTTGCAAATTGTGACATAATGCAGGGAAACTATATTTAAACGGGTGAATACTGGGACATGCAAAATGCAATGTAAAAACAACAACAGCAATGGAAAATTCAGCACATCTAAAAACTACACAGCCACAAGGTGGCACTGTATTAAAAGGTTTTGGTTGTCATCTGTCCTCTTCTCATTTTGATGAGAGGACTCCCCAGAGTTCTTCATAACATTAATATTAGTAAACACATGTAGCAACAACTCTCTTTTCTTTATGTACAGTTAATAGTAGAAATATTGGGATGTGTTTTGGTTCAAGCTTTTAACAATTCCACATTTAGCTTAAGTTTTAATCTTGCTTTATTCTTTTGAGACTTAGTTATTAAGGATTACATTTATAGTAGGATAAAGAGCCAAGCTGTCAAAATGCTCTTTATTTAGATGATCTAGGCCTGTTTTATTTTTGTGAACAGAGCTTTGCCTACTTCCTGTGATATTTCTGTTCATTGTGATTTTGTTTTTTGTTTTTCTGGCCTTGAAAGTCTGTGTCAAGTGACGGTTTTATGAACCAATATGTTCTTTTTGTGTTTGATATATTCCTTAGACATATCAGAGTGTGGGAACTGAAGAATAAAGATGACGTATATTTCTTTTACCTTTTTTTATTCAGTTGTCTTTTATGAATGGGTTATATATTGTTCATGTATATAGTGGACAATGTGCCAGTTAAATAATATGGAAATAGTATTGGCAAAAATTCAGATAGAATAGCCTACATAGGTAGAAGCACTGTTAAGGCTTCAGTACACGTATATACGGTATGTATACGTTTATACAGCCTACTGAAAGAAGTCTGTAAAATCAGCAGATTACGAGATTTTATCCATTAATCATGTTGCTGTACAAGTGGATTTCACATTGTTTTGGCTACGGGTACCTGTCATGTGTACAATGGGTATAGGATATATACTTTTTGGTAAATTTCTGCTCTTTTATGTTATGAAAGGAATGTTTGCAAATATGTGCAGGCAATATTATTTTAGGTATAGTTTTATAGTGTAAATCATTTCTATCAGACGTATTAAAATACTCATTATGCCACTGCACTGCGTGTGGTTGATATAACAATTACTGGTAGCGGTGTCTTAAGTAATTCGGCAGTTTTCTGCCTGGGTATCAGATAGCCCACATGGCCCCCGCCCGCTGGAACCGATGCTTGGGAATTGTTGGGACCCAGCAGTGTTGGAGACAGAGGGTGACGGGGGATCGAGGCGAGCCCCCCGCCTTGTTCAACACATCTTCTATTCTGCGGTAAAGATGGCGGCGTCAGAGGGGGCGCGTAGCGGCTGGACAACGGGAAGACAATTCTGAAAAGCTCCACATTTGACCGAATCTCGCTCGTGTGGTACCATTATTTTCTGCTCGGATACCATCTGGGTCAACGGGATAGAGTCAGTCGCTGTCACACGCCAGGGTTACGATCTTATTATTAAAATCAGGGTGGGTGGGTTTCACTAAAATCTGCTAACGTTAGCTAAGAGGCTAGCCAAACGAGCTAATACGGGCTAGTTAACGTTAGCTCGGCGCAGAGCGGGGAGAGGATCGAGGAAGACTACTTGGGATAGGCCGTTCCAGTTTGGGGGAATGTGAACCAGAGGTGCGCAAGGAGTTTGCTCGCTTCGTCCCTTACACGTCCTTACACCAAACTACCGGGATGGGACAGCAGGTAGGCCGCGTCGGTGAGGGCACAGCGACCGGACTTCAGCCACCACAGTCACACGCGTCGCAACCACACCAAGGGAAAGGGAACCGGGGGAGCGGCGTCGGGAGGAGACCTCGAGAACCCGGCAATAGCGCCGGGACACCGCCAGGCAGGGCTGCTGCAGTCAGCGTGCCCGATCCTGGGATCAATATATTCACGCAGCATTCAGGTAATGATAGAAATACATCATTAAGAGGAGTGTGGGTTTTCACTTTGATGTTTGCTGCTGATTAGTGTTTGCTAGCTCAGTCCGTGCTAGTTTGACAACGACGCGTTAGCGGAAATAGCCATGCCAACTAACATTAGCTTGCTATGTCTCATTTGTATTACTGTGTGTTAATTTGTTCATAATCTGCGTGTGCAGACAGGAGCTAATTTATTATGAAAATTCACATGCCCAGATATTACAGCAGTATAGCAATATGTGGGATCATATGTAGCTCTTGTGTATTGTATTTAAGATAAGATATGATTAGCCTTTATTAGTCCCAAGACAGGGAAATTTACGATGTTATAGCAGCAAAGGGGTGTAAACAAGGCACACAATGCAGAAAGGTAATAGCCGAGGTATTAACAATATCTTACCTAAAGATTCCAAAAGGAGAGACTGTTTTTGAAAAGAATTAAGTTACAGCCTTAGGTGCTTTGTCTAAGGGTCTTTACTGGAGGTTAGCTCGTCAAGTTTTCCTCTATACTTATACTTGGTTTGGCAACGTTAAGCAGGGATATTTGCCTCCTGGATGTTGACTAGCAATTCCACTCCATTAATTCATTATGGCGGGCCCACAGGTTCACATTGCAATACCTAGTGGTTTTAACATGCTCAGTTACACCCTCTGTCAAATCATTCTATTGTTGCAATACACTCAGCAAACTGACTGCACAGTTTGTTCCAGTGGGAAATTCATGTGAATTATTTAAGTCACATTTTGTAAGTATATGTTTACACTCATGCTAGCATTAGGTGTGAAGTGTGATTATAATTTAATATCCTGACATCAGTCCTTTCACATGATCACTGAAATCATTTGGTAACTCGGGTACTACAGGAAGAATGTGGGTGAGTGGTCATATGAAAAACCGAGGTGGTGACAGTCACCACACTCATCACCCATGTTTCTCCCTCCGAGAGATAGCTATGCAGTAATATTGTTATTCATTCATTCATTCGTCTCCTATACCGCACAGTCCCAAACAGGGTCACGGTAATATTTTTATCAGCTCTGTGAGTCGCGGAGAACAGCACAGATTTAGCTGTGATTCCACCATGCCCTGGATGGCCTGCCTCCTTCACCCCTGGCTCTCTGTGGCTGATCTGGGTTTATAAGTAATGAAGTTAATAGGTTGCATTCTAGGTAGAGTCTACTGTATAATACCATCATCATTATAGTGCATTTTATTCATACAGGACTTTTCTTAATACTTTGGGGTGTGTTCTACATGGCAATCAATACAGCACCTGCATGTTTTACCCTTGCTTCCTGTCTTTGTATGTTTGTGACATTCTGTGCTGGACTTGATAGTAAACTTGGTCAAATATTTGATGTCTGTTTATCTGCAGTTGGACTGTGTTTGTCCTCCAGTGGATATAGCGTTCCTGGTTTCTGCTGACATCTCAGACCCAACTTCCTCACACCGTTGCCTTGAATGAGGACATGCAGAAAGTTTTTGGGAATGGAAAGCATTTTCAGTTCTTGGCTGTCACTTGCTAAAAGTAATTATTTTCGGCCTGAAGTACATATAGAGGCGGATGTACTAAGTGCAGCACTGCTCATGGTGTGCACTGTTCTGATGTCAGGGCAGGAGTGGCCTTTTTATAGCAGCCAGGATGCATTCACATAGCCACTGTGCAGAGAGACTGCTACTCTTCAAAGCACACAATAATAGAACAAAGGCTCTTAAGTGAGAAAGCTTTGGACTGTGCACTCACTCTTCCACTGATTGTCAGTGTCTTTTTCTGGTAGGCCATTTATGTGATAACGATGCAGCGTTTTCTTAAGTGTCTTTTTGGGCGAAGTTTGGAGCTTGTTTTGACTGATAGCAAGTCAGTGTTCATTAGGGCCAAAACACATTTTTATTGTTTATCAGTTTGTTATTTTTACATAAAGTACTTCATCAGTTAGTCAGAAATGCTCACGAGAAAGAAGCAAGTAGCTCCTTGAATTTATAATCATGTAACTGCAGTCATTCATTTGATAAATGACTAATTACAATCAGCCAGTTTTCTGCTGTTGGATTCATATGCTCGGCAATAATATTGATTCATTTGATAAGATGGCTGTTAATTTATGTTTATATTCATATGACAGGGACATTTATGTACCAAGAAGAAGTGATAATAAATTATGTTGACCCCTTGCAGGGAAATCAAAATGTCAAAGTACAAGAACAGATGCATAGTGTAGCTGTGAGTCAGACAGTGGGTTAAGGTTGCTGACAGTAATCTCATTTCATGTTAGCATGTTTTTTAGTATCTATGATTGTTCCTCCTGAGAGATATCAGGGATCAACATGTTGAAAGCTTTATTAATTCAGCTTCACTTTGACATTCTTAGGCTGAATGATGCCTTCATATTTAAAGTCTGTGAAGAATGTGTGTTCATTAGTTGAGCTCATGTCTGTGTGTTGCTGTTTGTCTTTCCATTGAGGGTCAATGGGTATCGTATGTGCACATGCTTCTGTTAACAGTTTCTGTCAGTATGCCTGAAACCACTGAGTCATTTTAGAGACAGGCAAAGACGCTGGAGGGCACTGATATAAGTTGGCGTTCGCTTGACCCAGTGGCATCTACCTTCCCTCTCCCTTAATGTCTCTCTCCTCAATACGTAGTATTAAATTTTCCAATGTCTGCCATTTTCTCTTTCCACTTTCAACAAGGTGAGTCAGCTTCTGTTCCCTGCTCAGGTGTGTAGCAGCTCATTGCTAATTTAGTATTCATGTCTTCCAGCAATACTCCAGCAGACAGACAGGTCAGCTGGAAAACACAGAGCTAAAGACGGACAGGCAGGGTGTAGATCGGCCATTTGCTGACACAGAGGAAACCATCCAGGCAGCTACTTCTAAGGGTATTGGCTGAAGTTCAGTATTGGTGAATCAGTGGCTGTAACGCATTGATGGGGTGCCTCCTTGAGCCTGTATCTCCATCTTTGCAGAGATACTCACAATGCAGTGGGGAGAGTCCTTTGCTATTGAATTAACACACAAGGATGAATCTGCTGATAAAGTGATATTAGTGGGATTTTCAGGCAGGCTGCACTACAGTTTGTCATTTTTCAGGGTGTGTTTCTTCACGTCTTAAATTTTGTCTTTATTATATTGGGCCTATATTTTGCTTGTGAAAAATACAGGTTAGATTGTCCTTATTGGTGTATTTACAGTGTGAAGAAGCAGAAGCAATACTTTAGAACATTCTTTTTATAAAATCAACAAAGCAATAGGCTTAACTATTTTTACTCTAAACAGAGTAAAAGCAGATTGGAATATTTTTTGGCAGCACTACTGCTAGTGAAAGTAGAGCCAGTTGTACCTAAAGTGCAGCATGGTTAAAGATGCCCACAAGAGAAAAGAGATGCCTGGATAGAGGCTCCAAGGTCCTAAGCTGATTTGCATCATGGGTGAAATTAGATTAGAGACAAATCCACTTTTCTGTTGGCTATGTGCTTAAACCCCCAACAACCGGGATAAGTCTCACAGCAGCCACTGCAGTATCTGGGCAAAAGCAAGTTTTAGACACTTCTGTGGCTATGGGTGAGATTTTAATAGGCTTTAAAAGATAATATCTGGGGACAAGGATGATTTGTTGATTAAATACAAGTTAGTCTTAGTGAGTGCCATTAACCACTAGGAGGAGCCAAGGCCACAGCTCCTCTAGGGGAAAAGTGGCTAGAAATTAGTCCAAAACTGATGAAACAATGTTCTTCTGTGTTGGCACTTTTAACACAGTTGAATATGGTTTATGTCTGAAGACTGCATGCACCATTGTGCACTCTGTAATGGTTGTGTATTAAATAATTTATGTCTTTCTGTGCCTTCTTCGTCCCGACCCTGCCCTGTACTCCTACTCGGTGCCAAGCCTCTTTATCTCCCAGCCTGTGCTGTTTGTCACAGCAGTCGACCAGCTCTGCCCCGTCTCCCTTTAGCTGAACCCTGGCTGCAGCGATGGACCTCAATCTTAATGCCATGAAAAATCACAAAAAATGCCCACTGATTTCAAATGCCTCACGACATGTCAGTTTGTAATGTTATAACACAGGCAACACAGTTAAGATAATTATATAATTCACATTTAATAATAGTTGAAAAATGTAACAAATAATTATCAGAACTTATCATCCCAGGAGTTTTTTTTTGTGTTGTTTTGACTCCCAGCTGCAGCCTTGAGCTTTTGCATCTGCTACCAGTCAGGCTAGTGTAGTTCCCGAAACCACAGTCCTAATGTTTTTGCTTCAGCCTCAACACTCTTGGCTTATATCATTAAAGAATGTAGATTTGTTAGACGTGCGAGTGATCGGCTGTGCAGATGGTAAAATCTTCCCTTGCATCTGACAGCTTAAAAGCACAAAATGTTTTAAACTTTGTTGAGAGGGTTAGCCAAATTGTTGTAGTCGCTTCTGGTTAGATTTCAATTTTCAGATGTTTTCTCTTAAGCTGCAAAAGTGCAGTAGGGGGAAATTAGATATGGGGTAGGAAAGGGGGGCAGTGCCTGTGCCAACCAAGCCTGTTAAGCACTGATTTGCTACCAGGATCAGTCGTGTGTTGCTGGCATTATCACTGCTGCTTATCTTCTGGGATGCAGGCTGGAGGCTTAGCTGGAAATACAGACTTACTGGAAACCCTCACACATGCATGCGCAAGCAGTGAAGTTGTAATATGGTGCACCTCTTTCTGAAGACATCCAGCACATCCTATTCCTTCAATGTAGTTGCCCAACAGCTGACCAGTCAGAAATCCTTAATCTGGGTGCCCTGTGACACCGCTGTCCTCAAATATCCCATGTCAGTAGTCTGAAAAGCAACAGCCAGAAGTTGTTGATTGTGCATGTGTGTTAGTGATTTACAGTTCAGAATCAGTTTATTTCATATAATGCTGCCACCCTGCTGCTTCACTGTCATGTTATTGTTACATTTGGTAAATAATGGGGTTATTGCTGTTTGAATTCAAGACAGTATATGTCAGATGAGTAGAGAAACCATGAACTGTAATGCCATGACGTGTATTGAATTTGGTTGCTCCAGTGGGTTGGTATTTCAGACGGATGTGGAAATAAAATCTTCCATTTGACCTTTGGTTGGTTCTTCAGACAGTCATTGTAAAGTATCTTAAACTTAGACCCTAGCACAGCTTAATCACCACATCCAGATTAGCTAATCAGACACAAAGATCCACCCACTGAAAAGAAAGAAGAAAAGCAAGGAGGCAGCAAGAAGGAGGGTGTCCTTTAAGGCTTTGGAAAGATATACTGTGGTAAACACACCTTTTTACCTGTGGGGTGTTAGACACACACACACACACACACACACACCTCAGCTAAACGTTTTACATAATCCACATGTACATTGCATGATGTATTTGTGAGGCCATTGCTCTGACATCTACTATAGTCATGTCAGCTTAATATTTCCATTCTGTGTACTTAATGTGAATGTATGGCTTCCCTTGGACAGACAAACACTTCTTTTCTTGGTGATTAAGATGTGCTGAAACATGTTAACTATCTAAAGGCATGTTTGTTTATATCACAAGGATGAAATGGTATTTTTAAGCACACATATTGTGTCACCCCTGTGGATGACTTCAGGTTAACTTGGTGTATTGTATGTATAGAAATATAATTGGTCTATTGAAATACTGTATAGAGTTAGTCTTAGACTGTCGGGACATATTTGCCATGTCTGAGAAACAGACCACCGCAGCATGGATGAGGAGTTGTTTCAATTCATCATATGCCGCTCGTCCTCTCTGCTGTCACATAAAGGGGCACTTAGCTTTGGTGCCAGAACACCAAGAGCGAAGCACTTAGAACCCATTATTAACCCATAACAAGCCCTGAGAGGATCGGGCAGGGCAGAGTGAGCTGTGGGTTACAGCTTTATTCTTCTCCATTTTAAGGCTTGTATGTCTTCTCGCTAATTTACTCATTTCCACATAGACAGCAGATGACCATATAGGCAGAACTGAATAGGGCACAGTCACTGGTATTTCTGGCAGCAGCTATACATGAGTGTGTGTGTAATTACTTAGTCAGAGGGGTGTGCAACATCAGGATGTGTTGAAGGTGGGAGTCTTGCTGAGGGAGATGTGAATCTGCCTATGTGGACACAAGGGAACTGTGGGCACTATACATTTGCATACATGTATGTAGTTATAAAGTATATATACAGCAGTTCCTCTGCTAATGAACAGCACACAGAAGTGCTGCGTTTTCACATGATAAATTTGAAGTCCTCAGGAACAAGGGAGTATCTTCCTGAGTCAGTCCCCACACACACACACACACACATATACATATACACACACACACACACATACACTTGTAATGTGACATTAATGAAGCCATTGTCCTTTGTCCAGTCCTCATGAATAACAGCTGACTGTCCTCTCCACTCCACTATGGAGTGCTTCTCAAACGGGTGATGGATTGCTTAGAAATCTTGTTTGTGACAAGCTTAGCTACGGTTAACACACTTGCCTTCAAGTTCGTCCACTTAGTTCTTTCCACTATTGATTAGTCTTGATTGATACTCTAAAATTCAAAATGCCTTTCACTAATTTGGACAACAGCTCAGTTCTTTCTCCAGTTTACAAAACATTCTTGACTGAGGGTGGATCATACAGCCATGTCATCTGCGTTTTTGTGCACATTGTTGTTGTTTCCTGAAAGTAAACATTTCACACAGCATGGAGCCATGGCTGAACCACTTACAGTTAGTAACCACTGTATGTACAGTACAGTATAGTAATATTTAGTGCAGAAAAATACTGTGAAAAATGCAGAAATGCAAACATTGTCCTTGGGATTTTAGGAATTGATATAGGATCATTCAAATAAAGATTGGGATAATTTGGAAAATATATTTATTTAAAAAAAAATCCTGTCCTATTTGAACACAAGGGAATGTCATCATAAGAGTGGACGACACTTTCTGTAACTATGCACAAGTGAAGACAACATATTACAAATCCAGCTGGCGGCCATATTGCTTTTGTGAGGTATTTTGCATCACTTCTAGGAGCTGTCATGTTGTCCACCTTTATATACAGTATGTGAGCCATTATCTTTCACCCATCACATAGTGCAGATTGATTTTCTTTTGATCGATTCATTGTTGTAACTCTTAATACGGTGTTTCTGTTTCTCTATGTTGTATTAAAACTCTGCTTCTGTGTGCTCTATATATTGAATACATGTCCTGGAAGAGGGACCTCTTGCTTGTTCTTTTAACGTTTCTCCCATGTTTTCATGGGAGGGTTAGATGGTGTTTTGTGCTGTACAGATTGCCATCAGACCTGGATTGATTTGGGAGCATAACCTGACATGACTTGAATCTGCGTTTCCCAAACTTTGAAATTTCTGGCAATAACAGACAACATCTTGAAATTTCTCCTAAGATCTCCCACTGGTGATCTCACAGATTATATGGTTGTGTTATTTTCTTTATGAGACAGTGTACAAAATAGACTTGTTACAACATGATTTCTCAGTGAGGCTCAGTGTGATTCAGTAAGTATCAGAAGACAAACAGATGCTGGTACTAACAGCATCTGTAGCCATCTATGATTGTCCCTTCTTCATCGCCTGTTCCCTCTGAGTCTGTCACACGATCTGATCTGGCCTGTTCTGTAGACTTTTGTAGTGTCTGGTGTATGTGGGTTTCATCCGTGGCTTTGTCTCAGGGTTTTTGTTGGAGCTTCCTGCAGGGAGCTAGCCGCCTGCCTGTGCACCGCCATTACTTTGTGGTCTGCAGTTATTTCTGGATGTCATGCTGCTATGTTTTGTTCTCCAGCAGCTAAAAATACTCCCTTACCTCGCTGGTCATGGTCTTCAGCTACGTATTGTTTTTGATTAGGGTGTGTAAGTGATGTTATTGTGTTGTTTAATACTTTGACACAAGGTTGTCGGTGCAGTGAAAGCTTTATAGACACATGGAGGCATAAAACACTCATGCAAACAGCTGCAGGGGAAGCAGCAGTTTGCTGGGACAGCTAAGGAGATGGTGTCACCATGTGATGTGGATTTGTGTGTCTGCATTTTATGTGCGTTTTGAGACCAGGGTCACCTTTGTCCCAGCTGTCTTAGGGGGTGCAGTCTTGGCGTGCCCCCTCAGGCTTGCACATGCCCTCTCAGCTCTGCTCAACACAAAGCTGCAGTTTCTTCACAACCCACATATGCTGTACTTCACAGCACACATGCATGGAGGCACCCGCGCAGGCACACGACATGCCCCACGCAGGCCAACTGCTGCCTCAATCACACATTTCAGCCCAGGAGGTTTGAACTTGGCCAAGCAGGACAGCGTCTTACTGTTGGTCTGGATTAAGGAGTTCAATGTGATCATCTTAATGAAACTGGATCATGTTATGAAAACAATTAGATGTAGATAGATTAGTTGATTGAGCCTAACAATGCTCAACTCATCAATGCTTGAGTTTTCATTTGTGTCTTACTGTTTGTTTGTTAATTGAGATAAGTCAAACTGAGACATTTGATAAACGTGTCTGCCATATTATCACTATTTAATATTAGCATTCCTGAAAAGAGTGATGTGATATGTAGCTGTGGAAGAGGAGCAGCTCTTGACAGTTGGTTCAGCCTGGCTACAGCAGTTGCACTCATGCACATTTACACACACAATTTAACCCCCCACCCCCCGCCCACACACATACACAGAAAAAAAGTGTGGGTCCCCCCCAGGGGTGGATGAAACCAGCCATCTGCTGTTTGCCACAGCGCTTGCATGGTCAGGCCTCACACGTCACATTGAGCTCAACTTTCCTCATAGCCCCCCCAAAATAAACTCTGTATATAACTCTGTAACTCCGCCACATTTTGCCATCCCGTACATTGCATTCAAGCCCACCGTACATCGGTCATGGACGTATGTGCTCTCCAGATGGACCTTGGGATTCTTGACTCCATATAGACATATAAACCACATCAAAGCTAGCGGGGGAGTCTTCGGCTGCAGGCTTCTTGTCACTACTGGAACTTCAGAAGTTTAGGTTGTTTATTCAAGAGTAGCAAAAGTACTCTGTCTGGGGGATTATCTCTCCCCGATTGTCTCTCATACAGCATTTTGAACTCCACAGTGAAGAAGATGGTTTAGACAAGTAGTGTATGCCTTTTATTTTTGCCAGGAGAATGCACACTTGTGCTTTTCAGTCTCCATCATCTGAGTCTATGTAGTCAGGCTTTTAAACAACTGCTGACCCAATACAGCGGAAAACCACAGTGTTTCTTTGGATACCAGGCCAGAGCAGAACATGTACTGGGAACTGTGGCTGAGCCAGGTCACGGCCAGTGCTGCGCTACAGTGCATACTGGTCCAGAACAAAGGTGGGCAAACCTTTTGCGTAGATGTTCTGGAATAGGCAATGTAGAGCTAGATTGTTTGATAATTGAGAAGTGTATTTAGTTTAATATTTTTGTTGTATAGATCACAAATGTTGGACATCTCTCTGGTCTCATACACATGTGTGACCTGTGCCCGATACATAGTGTAGTCTATCAGTGGAAAATCCTTGTCTCATAGGATACTTGTCAACTTTGAAAGATTAGAGCAATGACACAGTTTTCAATATATTGTTTGAATTTGAATAGATCAGCCTTGTGTTTAAGCACAAAAATCCTGTATCACTCTCACTAACGCACTCATTATGACCGGATGATGAGAAGTTACATGGCATCTAACATTTATTAAGTTTGTTTTGGCAAAAAATGTTTCAGTGCTGTAACTGCAACCACTGAATCAGTCCATCGTGGTTCACAGTGAAAAGACCAGGACAGCATGATATTCTTACTTAGTAGTGCCTGTTTTTAAAAGCACTACTAATATTGCTTACAACGGGGAGTACTTCAGGAAAAATAAACTTATGAATCAGCTCTACTTCAGCTCAGCTTCAGCTTAAACCTTTGCCTGAATGTGTAGGTGTTAGCTTGTCGTGACAGCAGTTGTTGAAAACAGGAAGCAAAACCAACTGTTGTCGTCATAGTGCCTTGTTGTCTTTTTTTGTAAAAATAATACAGCTAGGACACCTCTTTTTATGATCTGGCCATTGTTTGGAGTTTGTTTTGCTTCTCTTGTTTTTTAATATGCATATATAGACAAAACAAACCCACCACTCAGTGCAATGCATATAGTTGGGCATAAAACAATACCTAAAATAAATCAAAGAAGAACAGAACATTCTACAGTATGTAACAGCTTGTCTGTTTTAAAGTTGCTTGACCTGCAGTATTTATTCTCCGTCCCTTCATTTCACCATCTTCTTCCTCCACTCACACAGCAGCTGTCCAGACATGCAGTGACTTTGGCAGCAGCTGTTGAGTGTACTACGTATTAGCTACGCATGTTCATAATTGTGTGGCTGTGGGTGTGTATTATGTAGTCACTGCATCCTGTGTGGAAAGGGAACCTTTTCTATCCCTTATGCTCACCGTATAAACAAACACACACAAAGTACTCCCACCTCACATCTCACCTGGCTCGGGCTGGGCAGCAATAGTACTGCTCTACAGAGAGTGGACTGCTCTAAGTTATGCCTCTGAGGTGCCTGCAGGCAAGCAACAGTTTTGAGGAAGAGTGGACGGCTTTGAGCAGCCGTCATCACCGCACAGGATTAAGACAAGGGACTAAGCCTGGACATACAGGTAGCAGATCTGTGAGGTGGACTCACAGAATAATGGAGAAATTAATCTGTGCCATTTTGTTAAGAGGACATCAGTCTTCTGACTGCCTTGCACTCCAAGGTTGTCTTAAGATATCACTGGAAAAGGGCAGCTTGTTATCAGTTTGTGCTGAGCAGGAATATTAGTCAACAGATCAACATATTCTAATGTGTTACTGTAAACCATGTTTTTCTGTCTGTGATTGTGGCTGTGATTCTCTATGTTCACCACTGTGACTGCTGTTGCTTGTGTATTACTCTCATAGTTTATCTTCTGTCTCCCTGACCCTTGCGCCCGCCCTCCCTCCAGAAGCTCTCCACCGGCCATTTGGCCTGGACTCAGCGGCACTAACGGAGGCGGTGCGCTGGAGTTCCAAGGAGAACCTGCTGGGGGCGGCTGAGAGCGACCCCAATCTCTTTGTTGCACTTTATGACTTTGTCGCCAGCGGAGACAACACACTCAGCATCACCAAAGGTAAACATTGCCGTGATACTGTGCTTTTCTTTTTAAACTCCGATTAACTGTAATTTTTTTTTTGCATTGGTCACAAGTCAATTAATGTATGTTCTTGTTTGCTCCCAAACTATCTCCCAGTGGAAATTCTGATTTCACAAAAAAGATTTCGTCATGTCATGACACAAGCCTTGAAAGGCCTGTCCTCCTCTATGTGTATGGAAAGATTATTCCAATTACATTACTCATAGAGAGGCTTTTCTGTCTCATTGCTTGCTCTTAACCAAATGAAAGGGGATTGAGCAGAGGAATGTGCGTCTGTGGAGCAAACCCAACTGTAACGATAATTTCACCCTGTCATGACATCAGCAGGTACCTGCTCCCCCCAGCTGTGGCTTTCTTTGTCCTCTACCCACACACACCACGTCCCTCTTTGATACTGTACATATTTCCTTTTGTGGCACCTGTGAGCCAAATGTTTTATGCTTTGTTATCCACTGGTACAGTGGTTGAAAAATAATATTAAAGCTTGTAGCAAGGGAATTTTATCTGAAACCTGTGCAGACCATAGTAGCCGGTCAGCCAGCTCTTTCTTGAGTAATGAGCTTAAAATATCCTCATAAAATTATCCAGAGACAGCCCGGCTTTTGTCCCCAACCTAAGACGGTAAACACGGGGTTTAATTCTTCAGCACTGTGCTGGATTTTGCTTATATTTTAACTGTCGCATAGCAAGAATGTGGCTGTATATGTAGGTATGTATATAGCCATAAGGAACCCTGTATTTTATATTAACAAAGTAAACCTACTTTATTAATTTACAAAAATGACCTTTGTTTACACTTTGGTTCAGGAAAGTTTCAGTTAATGCAATCATTTGGACTATTTTGGCAATCATTTGACAGCTGTAGGTCAATTATGCCCCTCCAAAGTTTCGAGACCAAAAGAGGAATGAGTGTATTAGATATTTTTTATGGCTTTGAAAGTTGTGCTCGGACTTGGATACTATTGCCAGACTGTAGTTTCCGACCGAAGAAATGGTGAGCAGATGATGCATTTATTTGCCAGTCTGACCTTTCAAGTTAATGTGAGGATTCGCATTCAGAACAGGTTAGATGTGGTGCTTCTGTCTCTCTCTGAAACGGGTCCCAGTATGTGCACAGCCATCATCCATTTGGATGGTAGCCTACAGCTCCCTGGGTCGTTTTTAGTTAGTTCATCTTGAGCATATAACTGTAATCTACACTAGGTATCAGTGGGGGAAGAAGTACTCAGATCTCTTACTTAGTAAAAGTAGCAATACAACAGTGTAAAAATACTTTGTTAAAAGTAAAAGTCCTGCATTCAAAATGTTACTTGAATAAAAGTATAAGCATCAAAATATAGCCCACTTAAAGTACTAAGGTAAAGGTAGTCGTTATGCAGAATGGTCACATTTAGCATTAATATATATCATTTTATTATGATTATTGGTGCATTGTTGTGTTCATCACTTTAATTTTCATCTGGTAAAAGGACAGCTCATTTTTATATGCTTATAATTTAAATTACTGCTGGGTAGCTTGTGAATTTCCCACTAGGGATCAGTAAAGTCTTATTCTTATATTGCATTTTGTTTTGTTAATCTGATCTTGAAAAGTAACTAGTCACTAAAGTTATAAAATATATGTAGTGGCTTAAAAAGTACAGTACTTGAGTAGTTATTTTCCACCACTGGTAGGTATCCAGTCATGTTCAGTCATCATCAGCACTTCAAGTCAAGCTACTCTTCATGTAAACCTGTACCACACATATTCCCTTTATCTGTTAGTATTTGCAGTGTTGGAGTGGCTTAGTGTTTGTCTATGACACTAACCTTGTAACTGCTATTTCTCACAGTTTAGGGTGTTATGTGACATATTCATTCAGCCCAAATGCAGTCTGACTTGAGCCCTGATTGAGTTATACTTCAATCCAACTGATCCAGAGGTTTTTTGTTTGTTTGTTTGCACTGATGGGTCTCTCCCCTCTCCAGTCTCCAAGACATCAGTCTCTCTGTCCCCTCATGTTTTCTGCACTGACGTCAAGAGGCAGGCAGAGACGACGGACCAGGTCGCTACATGCCTGCCTTTGCCTGGCCCTCTGAAAGATATGCAGTTCACCCAACCCGTCATTGTTCTCTAGCTTTTAATGTAGTTTCAACGAGAGGCGGGTCATGTCAATGGCTCCTTTGACTTGTGTGTGATGACTTATTAAGGCATAATGACTGATGTGGTGAGCCAATGAGAATGTTTAGTTCTGTGTTGTGTCTCTGTAAGGAATTTGATAAAATTAATCAAATAAATGAAATCCTGTACTCAGAATGAGGTCTTTAATTCTTGTATTTGCTTATTAACCTTTAGGGATTAATCCTTTGGCTTGCAAGTGTATGCAACTACTGATTACCTCTTTAGACTTGAAAGTGCAATCAAACCTGTGACTATATGACCAAGTCTTTGTAACAACCAGGCCATTCTGCTAGTATTTGAATAGTCTTAAAAGTTCCCTCTCTTGTGCACAGGTGAGAAGCTGTGTGTGCTGGGCTACAACCAGAATAGAGAGTGGAGTGAAGTGCGATCTAAAAACGGCCAGGGTTGGGTTCCCTCCAACTACATCACACCAGTCAACAGTCTGGAAAAGCACAGCTGGTATCATGGGCCTGTTTCTCGCAGCGCTGCAGAGTACCTGCTCTCATCCCTCATCAATGGGAGTTTTCTGGTGCGGGAAAGTGAGAGCAGCCCCGGACAGCTTTCCATATCTCTGCGCTACGAGGGGAGAGTCTACCACTACCGGATCAACACAGGCTCTGATGGAAAGGTAGACACATGAACACTTTAGCAGGACTGCCAGTTTGGGTGGAATTGGCTGATTAAAATGCTTTTCTGTAGAGCTGTAAGATTATCACGATTGCTGCTTCACATTTTTTTTAAACTCTCTTCCTCTTCATATTCTTGTCTCTTGTGTTTTTGTCCGCCTCCGTGCCCTCAGGTGTATGTGACATCTGAGAGTCGTTTTGCTACCCTCGCCGAGCTGGTCCACCACCACTCCACTGTCGCAGATGGCCTGGTCACCACACTGCACTACCCAGCACCCAAATGTAACAAGCCCACAGTGTACGGTGTGTCACCCATCCATGATAAGTGGGAGATGGAGCGCACTGACATCACAATGAAGCACAAGCTGGGGGGAGGCCAGTATGGGGAAGTCTACGTGGGAGTGTGGAAGAAGTATAACCTCACAGTAGCAGTCAAAACGCTCAAGGTCAGAAGGCTGTGACCTTTATTGTAGACAGCTGAATAGAAAAATATCCTGCTTTTGATTGACACTCTCACAACACCTTTGTAACTGCAGATGATTGTGCATTGGCTAAACCGTGGTCCTAGAGCTCCACCTGCAGGTGGACTTTGGTATTACACGTGATTATTTCAGTAGATACAGTATGTCACAATGTTCCAGTCATTATGTGTGATGAAATTCCTCTTTGTTTTCTGTTTGTATTTCTTTCTAATTCTTTAATAACAGGAGGACACCATGGAAGTTGAAGAGTTTCTGAAAGAGGCGGCAGTTATGAAGGAGGTTAAGCACCCAAACCTTGTTCAGCTACTAGGTCAGGAGTTGTACTTTTCACTGGTTTTTGATAAACATTTGTTGCAATTTTATCTGAGTTAAAAAAAAAAAAAAGTCATGTCTAATCTAAACCATATTTTACTTATATTTCCTGAAGTATTCATATTAAGAGTTGCTTGTCTTCTGAGACTGCACTGTCACTGGCTTTGACAGACACATTTACACATGTTGCTGGCATCTGAAATCTGCACAGGTGTATGTACGTTGGAGCCTCCGTTCTACATTGTAACTGAATACATGCCACACGGCAACCTACTGGATTATTTGAGGGACTGTGACAAGGAGGAGGTGAACGCTGTGGTGCTGCTCTACATGGCCACACAGATCTCCTCTGCCATGGAATACTTGGAAAAAAAGAACTTCATACACAGGTAAGGGGATTGTCTAGGTTTGTCTACTGTATGTGTTTATCCACATGTGTGAAAGTAATCCAGTTTCTTGTTTTCTCCCACCTTTCCACCCGGATCTCCTGTTTCTCTAATCCTTGCTTCACTCCTCAGGGATCTTGCAGCGAGGAACTGTCTGGTTGGGGAGAATCATGTTGTGAAGGTTGCAGACTTTGGCCTGAGCAGGTTGATGACAGGTGACACCTACACTGCCCACGCTGGGGCCAAGTTCCCTATCAAATGGACTGCACCAGAGAGCCTCGCATACAACACCTTCTCTATCAAATCTGATGTCTGGGGTGAGCAATACATGTGTATACATTCATATGCTATTAGATTTTTTTTAAATGTATTTCTTACGATATTCCAAATGTATTCATGTTTGAGTCTCTCAAATCATCTTCTTTGCAGCATTTGGAGTGCTATTGTGGGAGATTGCCACCTATGGAATGTCTCCATATCCTGGCATCGATCTGTCTCAGGTCTATGACCTCCTGGAGAAGGGCTATCGTATGGAACAGCCTGAGGGATGTCCACCCAAAGTCTATGAACTCATGAGAGCATGTGAGAAGTAGATGTCTGACCTACCTCTTACTGATTTACTAAGTTGTTCTTCCCTGGGAAGACATGACTAGATGCTGACAGCATGGTTATGGAAAAGTTGGATTTGTTCATTCATCATTTAATTTTATTTTTTTTAGATCTTTATCATGTCACACTTAACCCTTTCGTACTGCCTGAAAACTTGCCATACTGTTTGTAGACAAAAACAACTGTGAGACCACATATGTCACCTATGCTCTTATTTCTTTCACACTGTCTGTGAAAGACATATATTTGCCAATTGATTACTTTAAAACCCGTTTTAAGTGTTAGTAAATACAGTACTGCCTTTCAATTATGTCTTTCTGTCTGTGTCTCTCTACCAGGCTGGCAGTGGAGCCCATTAGACCGGCCTTCGTTTGCAGAGATCCACCAAGCCTTTGAAACAATGTTCCACGACTCCAGCATCTCTGAAGGTACAGTAACATGCAGCTTATCCTCAGATGGTCAGTCTTTTGTGGAGCTCAAATTCTACATTCCCAGAGCTTCTAACATAGCTGCACTGATCAGGCAGAACTTTTTTACATGCTTTTAGGTGAGTCAGCTGCCTGTTGGCATGCCTTGTTTTTTTTAGAGCAAACTAAAATGTCTTAATTTAGAAAAGCTTTATTGATCCCTAATGAGAATCAGTGTCATTAAAGCAAGAAAGAAAACAAAATAGTCAAGAGCAAACAGTGTAAAGCTCAAAAGAAGAAAGGGAGAACAGTTTAACCTGCACAACCAATACTTGACTTGACTTGTTTGGTTTGCACATGTACAGTAGTACTTTCAGTAGCTGCCTCTCAACTGAGTATTTTCTTCTTTGTTCATTACAGAGGTAGCAGAGGAGCTCTGTAAGACGGCCTCCTCTGGTCACTGTGGACCACTGCACTCTTTCAGTCATGACATGCCCCAGTTACCTTCCAAATCTCGCACAATCCACAAGCACACAGAAAACAAGGAAAACATCGAGAGCGGACTGGACGGGCGCACCGACCACGGCACGCACAGTCACTCAGGTACAGCCAGGCATGCCTACCTTAATACCAACCAGACAGGTGCACCATATTGTCATTCTTCAGGTATACCACAGGACTCCACTTCAGGGCGTGAACTGCTGCGTCGCCAAGCCTGCCGCCTGAGGAGGAGAGCGGTCATTTTCCCCAACGATTGGCCACCGGTCGATCAATCGACTGGTGCTGCGTCGCAGAAAGCACAGCCTGACAGAGTCCCTGTACATAACAACACAGTTTAAACACCTAAGAATTTTATTTATTTCATTTAATTTCTAAATCCAACACCAACATGGAAAATAAAAGCAACACAAAATATAATAGAACCATAAATTATCAATACATAAAATATATAAAAATGTATTGCACAAAAACAAAATCTTTCTACAGCAACAGTAAAAGAACTGTGGATATATGTGCAAACTTTACCACCATCTCGTTTCACTGAGGGATAAGGAGAGAAAAAACTGTGTGCGACTGCCTCAACAGTCAGTGTAACAGCCCCTTGTCCTCCATTATTATATATTAGACAGGGGATCATAGTAGACATGGTGGCATTTTCAGCCCATCCCAGTACACTAGGGGTGTACTGGGATGCACAAATGTTGGGTTTTTTTAAATATTTATTTGTACAAATATTTTAAAAATTGTTTGAGAAGTTTTTTTTTTTAATGTTTGCTGGGTTGCCAAGGTGGTTTACCATAACATTAGTTTACTATTGCTATTTTCCCTGTTGGACCTGCTGTATCTGAAGCAGACTTTGTTTTACCAGGAGGAGATTAGCCTATGTTAGCTCTGGCAGCGCAGTTACCACTGATATGAAAGTGTATCCCTGCCAGAAGGTTTGAGGATGCACAAACCACATTTCAAGTGCTACTTAATTAACAACTCTGCATGTCACTACAAGATAAGCTATTTCCATGCCCTACACATAAAAAAAACACTTTTGCATGATTTTAATTTGCTCAGAGAATGGTGGTCTATCATGCGATCCACATTTCACTGCAAGCCAACTTCAAACACTCCCAAGTATAATAATGATCTCCATGTTCGACTGAACCATTGTTCACTTTCTCTGACGCATATATATGAAAAGAGTCTGTTATTTGCAATGATTTAACATAAGAAAGATCATGTATTATTTGATAACCCTAATATTACATTGTCATTTGTCTTGTCTTGTTACTAATTCGTGTGATGTTGAAAATAAAATATTGTTAATTTGTGTGTTTCATATGTTCTTGGGAATTGTGTTTATGCAAAGAAGAGCACTTTGTGCTTTTTCAAATTTGTCTTGGTCCATCTTTTGTCACTGAGAACATTTTGTATGTATTTGTCTATAAACATAGAGTAGCATTAATGAAGTCATCATATTTACTACTGTGAACATGCAGACTGTTTTTCATAAAGCAACATTACAAAGTAACATTACTCTTCTTAAAAACAGCTTCTCCACCTGTTGCCCTAAATCATATAACAGCACACAAAATAATGAAAGATCACAGCTTATGTCTGTTTATTTGTTTGTCTAATGGTGATTTGATGCCCTGCACATGGTATTTGCTTTATTGATGAGTGGCATATCGTAAAGCGCTTTGGATAAAAGCGCTATATAAATGCAGTTGGGTTAACAGTTCTTGTATATAGATATATTTAACTGAACATGGTACTAAGGAATAGAGAATATTGTTACGTTTCTTGCCAGTTTATGTTCTTATTCACATCACATAATGATTGTAAATATAGAGGGCTATTTTTTGGTGTTTTCTCTCTTATTTGCTGCCTGGCTTGATGCACTCTCCTCATAAGGGCCGGCAGGCTTGTAAAAATGTATTTTCCCCTTTAAGTAAAGTTACACAACAGCCTTCCTATTAACATGGGTTGGGCGGTGTCTGCTCGGCTTGTGTCCCAGAGGTGTATTCATCATCCCATCTTTTAAAAGAGCAGCTTGTAAATCACTGAATTGGTGTGTCCATGTGTGTTCGTGACTGGCATTGAAACATTTCATCTCCTGTCCTCAAATGCTTTTTCCTTACTCATGAATCCCCAAGGAGCAAAGAACAGGTTTTTAGAGAGGAAGGGAATAGTCCACCTTATTATAACACTCAGTTACCTCTTAGAATGAGTGACATTAATGTACAGGCAAGTATTGTGGGAAGCTAAAAGAATTCAGAACAACATCTGTCATTACCAGTTTCATGGAAGAGCTTAATGAAGCTTTGAACATGATGGACAGGAGATGAGCATATTCTTGCTGAGTTCAGTCCAGCTTTGTTATACTGTTTTAATCCATTCCTCTTGTTTCTTTCCAGGCCGGGCTTCTTTGCTTGGAGGGGACGGTCGATCAAGCAGCTCCCCAGCTCTGCCCAGAAAGCAGCAGCCACGAGATAAATCTCCCAACAGCCTTTTAGAGGACGCACAGGATATGGGCACGTTTACACGAGACCGCAAAACTGGCTTTTTTAGTTCCTTCATTAAGAAAAAATCTTCCTCCTCTGCTTCCTCAACATCCTCTCAGCTGCAGCAGAACCTCCCAACACCACCGAAGAGGAGTAGTTCCTTCCGGGAGATGGAAACACAGCCTCACAAGAAATATGAACCCACTGCTGATTTCAGCGCTCCTCCTCCTCTGCCCCAGTTGGACAGCTTAGGGGGCTTCTCTGCCTCTCCTTCCCACTCCCATGGAGAAGCCACCCAGGCTCAGTCACGTTGCTGTGGGGCTGCTTTTGGACAGAAACCCTCTGGTGGAGGCCTTGGTTCACAGGTGGCTGGTGGTAGCAGTTGGAGTGGGTTGGCTGGCTTTTTTACCCCTAGACTCATCAAAAAGACCCTGGGGCTAAGGACAGGAAAGACAGCCTCCTCGGAGGAGGGTGGAAGTATAGTTGCAGGGCCTAAACCCTTCCCTCGGTCCAATTCTACCTCCTCTATGTCATCTGGGCTGCCAGACTTGGAGCGCATGGCTCTGACTTTGCCCAGGAACCGTAGTGCAAAACCCCCTCTGGAAAGAACTGCCTCCACAACCTCCCAGCCAGAGAATGGGGCTGCACGGCCCTCAGAAACTCTGCTGAGGAGGATGGATGAGGGGACCGCACAGATCAGGGAAAGGCCCAAAGCCAAGCTACTACCCCGGGGCACTGCTGTAGGGGTGAGGGCACCAGGGGTTGGGGGTGAAGTGGGGGAATCGGACAGTCTGTCTCGGGTCAGGGAGGATAGAGAGGAGAGTGGGGGAGGCCTGGACAGGCAGCACAGTTGGTCATCTCCTTCTAAGACTTCTAGTTCAAATGCTTCATTGGCTGCAGCAAGTGCACCAACTCACAACCACAAAGTGCCAGTCCTGATCTCCCCCACGCTGAAGCACAGCCCAGCTGATGTGCATCTGGTCGGACTAGACTCTCAGGGGAACCGTTTCAAACTGCTGTCTGAACACCAAGCAGACAGGGACAGGCCACGACTTGTAAAACCTAAGTGTGCTCCTCCTCCGCCTCCCACTCTACGCAGCCTGCAGCACTCCTACAGCGGTGATGGAGAGGAGCAGACAGGAGGAGTGTCCGTAGAAGTGAATGGAGACACATTAAGAGGCCACAGGTCAGGGCGAATGTCAGGAGGAGCGACAACGGGTAGACCTTCAGTGCCACCACCACAAGTGCCTCCTTCATGTTCCTCCTCTTGTTCTGCCACCAACAACACAACTCCCATCAAAATGGCTAATGGAGCTGCCACCACTGCCTCCTCCTCCTTACACACAGCACAATCTGCTGGTTCCAAAGTGGCACTGCGACGAACTAGGCAGCAGGCAGAAAGGGTGCCCCAGGAGCGAGTCAGCCGTGAGGCCCTGCTGGAGTGTGCCGAGTGCCTGAGCAGCGTTCTCCATGCCAGCTCCGAAAGCCCCTCCAGCAGTCAGGTGCTGGACGCTGGCCACCAGCTGCTAGACTGCTGCTCAGGTTACGTGGACTGCATCCCACAGATGAGGAATAAATTTGCCTTCCGAGCGGCTGTGGGGAAGCTGGAGCTCAGCCTGCAGGAACTGAGGGCTTCATCTTCAGGAGGCGGCGGGCTCAGTATTGTGGGGCCCAACACTGTACTGGACAACCTGCACAGCTGTATTAAAGAGATTAGTGATGTAGTGCAGAGGTAGCCACTGTGACACCGTCTGTCATCCCCTAAACACACGACAGATCGCTTGTATTCCCTTTTTTATGTTTCTGGTTCTGTTGACAGCTTTTTGGGGGACGAAATGAGTTAAATCTCTAAAGTACCTCAGAGAAATCATCACAAAATGTAATTTTTTAAATTGTTTACATACAACTGTTTCATAAAATGTCATTATGGACACTAACTTTGCTCTGACCTGTACATACTGAGAAATGTTTATACCAGAATAATTGTGGATTAAGTCACCCCATGTTTCGCCACAAGTCTCCACCAGGCCATGATGATAAAGGCCTTCTTGTTAAATGAATGTCAAGCTTACCAGCTCTGTGTAGCCCGCCCAGAGTGTAGGTAACACTCACTTTTTGTACCTGTCGGTCTGTCACATTACTGAGTGAGAATAATGGAGGTTTTGCTAAGCCTTACGGAGAGTAATGGGTAACTGTTTTCACTGACCTTATGCTCAAACAGTGTTTCACAGTTATGCGGATAATGAATAATTTGCCCAGTGTCTCTGGAATTAAGTGACCATAAGCCATTTGGAAAGCCATTGTAATGTAAAGGATTGGTATAGAAGAGGATCAGGACCACTCTACAGAATTTGAGTTCTGACTTCTCACATTTTTCTCACAATTCTGATACCCCTACCAAATAAATTATCATACAGAAGCTCTAATCCTCTTCTGTAGATTGGAAATGCATCATCAGATTTCAAAGTGCTAGGTTTTGGCATTTCAGTTTGACATTCTTATTTCATGCTTCTTTTTTTTGTATGAGACTTTTTTGTGCATTAGTTTTATTTGCTTTAACAAATTGCAACTAACAGTATTTTTCATTAGTTGGACAAAAGTCATAGAATTATGAATCTCCCCAAAAGCTGGTTATGGGGTTAAATCATTTTTATTAAATAATCAGCTATTTTGACAGTGACATTCCCATGAGGTGAGACCATTAAAAGCAACTAAAGGGATCACTGACATCATCGAAACGCGTTTGTGTGATGATAAGCTCACATGAAACTTCAAGTTTTATTAATACCAAAAACAGGCTAATGAAATCTAAAAAGAAAACAGGCTTATATAAACCCTTTTTATCCCCCAACTGAATGAATGTGGTGTTTCTTATATGCACAGCATTTGTGTTCACTTCAGTGACGTGACCAATTTTCACACCTTAACACAGTGCCACGTAAATGGGGACAAAACCCCAGTGTCCTAAAGCATTTCAATATTTGTCCAGTTATTCTTGCACATTGCATTTCTTTTTTGTATGATTGCGAGTAAGAGAGTGACGTGAGGGGCAGAAGAGCACAGGGTAGTGAGCAGGTGAAGTGGGACAGTATTTCTATAAGTGTCCTTCTGAGTATGGACAGTGCTGGATTCCCCTGTAGACTTGTCATGGCCTCAGTGCCTCAAATGCTTCAATGTATGAACACTGCAAAAACACAAAGACCTGCTTCACAGTAATCACACAGTACTGATCACCTAACAAACAAACTGCAGTATGTCTTCAGCACATGAGCGATTTGTACATTACTTGGTTCAAAGAAAAATACTTTTTAGAATGTCTATGAATGAACTTGAATTTTAAATTATTGTTTTTTTTTTTATTAAAAGCACAGACCTATTTTGAGAGAGAAGTTATGTAAATATTTGATTTATTTCATATCCAGGAAACAAAAGATTTATGTGTGGTCACCTCATAAGGAGCAATGTTTTTGACTGAAGAGACTGAAGCCCATCCACCCAGATCTGAAAATCTGCTTTGTGAATGTACTATTCTTCGGTTTTGAACCTGGTCAAATGTTCATTTGCTTTTATCTTTAATATCTTAAGGTGTCAATTTTTTTATTTATTTAGTTTATTTTATGTTTTTTTTTACAGTTTGTTTCCCTGTACTTCTAATTTTGGTCACAGTAAGTTCAGAAACAGCTGTTCTGATTTTTCAGAACAAACTAAACTGTGTACAGTGCACACAAATTGCATATTTTATTTTATTTTTTATTTCTGTTGTTTTGTTTTGTTTTGTTTTTTTGCTTTGTCTCACATTTAATGTACACTGGATATGGCCTCAGACACATTTATTCATTGACACGTGTTGCATATTAATATTAGAAAATGCAATCGATAAACACCGCGGGCCCGTAACACTCTCAAAATGTCTGTTAATGACACTTGATTGGTTGCCAAGTAAAAGTTCTTGTCGACTTGTTTTGTGATGCATTTCATATCATGTCACTGTGTATTAGTACAAATGTCCCTTTTCTTGCCAAACAGGATGTTTCAAGACAACGTGATGGTTAATTTCTATTCACTGTGAGTTTTAAATAACATGGATTGTTTTTTTTGTTCCATGATTCATGGTGCCTTTTTATGAACAAATCAATTTTGTGAACTACACTATCATTGCTAGAAATCACAGTATGGCAATGTTTAAGTCCATCATTAAAACATTTCTGTGTTATCTTTCATTGGCCACGTGATGAAGATAGATATCTTTTTGGCTCCACGCATTTTTATCTTTTGGAGATGAAAGTCAGACACAAACTTGAACCCGAAATGTGCGCTTTTGTCCATTTAGATTATGTTCTCAGTTACTAAGGTCATTTATTGGTGGCCGTTAACACTGTTAGTGCTGCCACACCTGGTTATGTTTTCTCTTTAACAAATGACATACGAGTCACTTCAAGCTGCTCTGTTGTCTCGTGTTGTGATCACATCAGAAGTTTAATCTAAAAAAAATGTTCTTAATAATTACTTAGCACCAGTCTAGCCTCTCTTTTAAGTTACTGATTCTGACCTTTAGTACATCTCTCTGGAAAAAACACATTTCCAACCTGGATATTTTTTTTAATAAAACGTAGATGTTCAATTAGTGACTACAGTGTCGATGAAATGATTGGATACCAGTGGTGATTTTTGTTTTTCCCAAATCTGATGTCTGAATCAACGCAGGTAAATATTTTATTTGACCGCAACATTTTGGTTCATTCCTTTTATCTGTCCTCTGTATTGTTTTCATTTATGTTGCATACATTTGTTCTGTATGTCTTTTTCTTTTATATCTCACTATTTTGGATAAGAGCTCTGGAGATGGTGCATACACATCATTATACCAAAGGCCATGTCTTTTGTTGTACAAGTGCAATGTCAACCAACACACAGACACAACACAGTGGAATATGTGAATATAAACATTGATGAAATATGGCAAAGATGTTAACATTAACTTTTTTATTGTACAAATGATATATTTTGTTTTGTTTTGTTTTTTATTTAAAGCTCACGTTATATTACTGTGAAGTTCTGCTTATCAGTGTTAAGTCTATTGTAAATAAAGATATTGATGAACACTGTTTTTGGTTGTTCTTAACGGTTGTAGATAATTATGGGTGAAATGAGTCTTCTGCATTCAAGAGCAAAGGTACACGAGCCTCTTCAGCCTCACAAACATTTTGTAGGGTAATTCAGGCAAATGTGAGGAGTTAGTGTGTTTTGTGGGTTGGATTTCATTAACATTTTACAAGTCTTTATATTAACGAGAGCTGTCCTAAAGCCAAATTTAAGAAGCACTGTGTCCTATGTTGAGATTGTCTAACAAATTCCATTTCCAAGTCATGAATTGTTCTGACTCATTGGAAGTTATGTAAAAAAAAAATACTTATTTGCTCCATCAAAAAAAGCTGAAGAAGGTTTGCCCCACTTCCATTTGTTCAATCAAGACAACATCTTCCAAACAATCGACCTCAAGCCGTAGAGCGCCTCAACACGGAGCAGTGTTGGTACCTGCCGTCCTTCGCCGTTTATCACCCAAAAAAAACATCACAGATCAGGGTGGTATTTGACTCAAGTGCTCAGTACTTCAAAGGTATTTGGTCTGGAATTAATATTTTTCCTCATTAAATCTCAAAAACCAAAGAAGACCAAACCAACAAAAATGGCTATGGACATTTGAGAATACAGATTTTTTTGGCATTTTGCATTAAAATCAATTAACACATCTATTTCTGATTCATTTGACTTTTTAAAATTAATTTGTTAACCAGAACCTTTTTCACATCTAGAAGATGTTTAAGAGGAAATACTTTTATAAGAATTGGGGTCTCTGTGGTTAATGGGTTTTAAGGAAAACCCTTGACTTTTACTCTGTAAAAGGGGTGGCCAACTCAATATCCCTGGTTTTCAGGGATCATCATCATTATCACATGGGCAGATTATAAGGAGCAAGATTCCCAGATTTAAAAAGTGTATCTTTTTAGTCATTTTATACCTATATTTTGTTAATTTATATCTGTATGGTCATTATGCTACTCATTTTAGTCATTTTGTCTATATTTGTAGCCATGTGTTTTGTGACTTTTTGGTCTTTTTTGTTTATTTGTTATTTTTCTTCTCTTTTTAGTCGTTTTGTGTCTCTTTGTGGTTATTGTTGTCTGTGTTTTACTTGTTTTGTCTATGAAGCTGTTTTGCATGCCCCTGTGCTCATTTTGTCTCTCTTTGCAGCTATCTGTTATTTGTTGCTGACTGACTTTGTAACTAGAAATGTTAACAGTCACTTCATTAACAAGCTCTGGCCCAGGGGGCCCCTGATCCCTTTGGCCCGTTCAGTAACTTATACATGCATTGTCATCACATCATCATCTTGCTCGTGACGCCTGCCCACACCATATCCGACTCCTCCCCTACCGTAGCTTATTGTAAAGATGGCGTCCATCATGGAAGGACCGCTAAGCAAGTGGACAAACGTCATGAAAGGGTGGCAGTATCGTTGGTTTGTTCTGGACTACAATGCTGGCTTGCTGTCATACTACACGGTATGTCTATACCCACAGCTTGTAAACGCTAAACTGGTCTGCTAGAGAGGTTAGAGACTGTAGAAGCTGTCGCTGTTTGTCGAATCCAAGTGAGATAAAAGGCCTTGTGTTTGTCAGGAGTTGGGAGTCTCAGCTGGCACAAATAGGCGTCTCCCTGATGAGAGATTCCCACGTTAACCAATAGCAAAATCCATCCAAGACTAACTGACGAATCGAGTGCCTGGTTTTATCACTTCCGCTAATGTAGCTAGGTAGCTAGCAAAGCTAACTGCAGATATACACAACACTTGTCGAAACATTGTTGTAAATAGTTTGCAGTATTAAATAAGAGAATTATATAGTTATTTATGTTGGCGAGATGACATTTGTTCCAGGTAGTTAAGAGTCCCACACCCGTTGGTTTGTTAGCCAGATGGCTAACAAGACTATGCGGGAGGAGCCAGTGGCTGCTACTTTGAGCTTTGATAAAATCCACAGCGCTGAGTTTCCTGTAACGTTATTCTTATTACCTACTAGTGATGACGAGAGTAAGCAGACAAGAAACACGTTGTAAGGAACATAACTAAGGACTGTCCACTTATCTCAGAAAGCCCTGATCTAATGTACAACTAAATGTATCTACATTTTCAATTAAGTGAGTTTAATATCAGAAAAAAAATTCAATTTCAGTAAATTAACATTTTATATCTTACAAAGTTTACATATTCTTTTGTCTTCATGTCGTGTATGGTTTTAGTGCAGATGTTCTTATTTTAAAAGCCTTTGGCAAGTTACCCTGCTCTGCATACTACTGGCTGTCCTAATTCCCAGTTTGTTCTGTTGTTGGTTTACAGTCAAAGGACAAGATGATGCGAGGATCCAGAAGAGGCTGTGTGCGACTCAGGGTAGGATTTTCAGGGTGAAAGCCGTCCTGACTTTTGACTTTAATCAGCTCATTCCCTACTCTGCATGCTCGACTGAATTGCTAACCAAATATTTTGAAAAGCCTTTATGAGTGTTATGCCGACTTCTTTCCTATGAAAATGCGGATATGCGCTAGGAAAGCACATATCATCTTTCACGTTTTTAGAACCTATGTATCTCCACTGCCTGACAAGATTTTCTTGTTTAATGCAGTCTTTCTGAACCACTGGGCTATACACAGTACAGTACACAGTATGGTGGAGGCTTCATCTGATTTGCAAGGGATAGAGATAGACTTGTTCTTTGTACCAGAAGATAGCTTCACTAATTTCCCTGATTTGTTGGTCCAGTTCAAATGGGTTGCTTTAGCCATATCCACAGCTCTATTGATACACTACACTGTTTATGCTCTTCCAATAGACGTTTGCCCTTTTATGATATTAAGTAATTTCCACTAGATGGCAGCAGTTGCAGTACTACAATATCTGTTGTGCTACCTTTGTTAAGGAGAGGAAGGGAAGATCCTGAAGTAGTAGGGTGTTCAAGGGACTGGTCCTAATTAGCACTGAAACAAAGAGCAATCATTTCTTGTAAATATAGGGTGTTGGATTTGTCCACAAAGAAGCCAGCAGAGTGCCAGAGTTAAAAGGTTGGATTGCATACATTTACTTAAGATAACCTGTTATAAAACCCTTTGGAAATCATTTGGTTCTCTTTCCTTATTGAATTAGTGTTTTGCTGCTGGTAGGTCGGCTTTGAAGATTTGAGAACCGATCTTGGTCCTTTCTAGGCTAATAGAAATAGTGAATAACGACAAAAGTCATAACAAATGACATCTCCCTCCCCTGTGTATTTACTGTTGTTAAGTTGTTAAGCAAGTGTGCCTAAAGGTTGAGTTGATAACTTTGTATGTCATTACAGAGTCTAGTATGAAATGCTAATCAACAGAACTGAGCTTTTGTGAGTAATGAAAGCTTATTCCCATTGTCTGCGCCCATTAGGTACTGCAGCACCTCCTCCTCCAAATTCCCAAATTTACAAGTTAACTTTCAAGCCACCTCCAGTATTCACATGGAGAACCTGTGCCTGCGCAGCCTGACCTTGTCAGCCCCATATCGAGTGTCCCTCATGTTGCTTGTCAGATGGTTGTTTATGTATCAATGTGGTAAAGTTTCTCATGAGAATAAGTGGTGGCCAAAACCACTTTTTTTTCTTTTATGCCACCACACCTGATTAAGGACAAAAGATTTTGCTGAGCACCCCACAATGTTGTATTAGATCTCCCTGAAGAGTGGCAGTATCTCCTGAAACTACCTGAAAAGAGGATCCAGCATTATTTATGAACATACAGTAATGGGTCAAAGCTCTCAGTTAAGGTTGTATCAGTGCGGCTTTAATTTGTTGCATTATACAGTAACATGAAGCTGAATAACCCTTGTCTGTTAAAATTGTATGCTGTTGTAAGCATTCACTGCTCTTGGACAAAATTTAGAATTAATCTTGAAACTGATGAACCTCTTACAATATGTTCTTCCTACTGGCTCTTTTTGTGGTCTTGCTAAACCAAACATGAAACAACAGTGTAGCCATAACCTTTAAAACTGTTATAGTGATTGTTTGTCAGATTATCTTCTAATGTCACAAGTTGAGTCAAATTATTCAACTTCTTTAGAATGTGTTGTCCCCAGTCCAGAAAAATGTGTAGAAAATAGCACAGTCCACTACAATAGAACTTCAATAAATCATTACCATTGTGTCACTTGAATTTCACGGTAATTTATGAGGTCAAGGCTGACTGGTTGAATCATGGCAGGATATTCCATTATTCTAAATTATATCTGGTTTGCCGTCAATGGTAGGCTAGTGGTTAAGGTGCAGCGCTGTTGCCGCTGTGGCCCGGGTTCGAGTCAGGGTTGCGTCAGGAAGGGCATCCGGCGTAAAACACGTGCCAAATGTCAACATGCGAGCCGTCAGTGTGACGATTTGCTGTGGCGACCCCTAAAACGGGAAAAGCAGAAAGTTACTTTCTATAAATGATATCTGGTTTAATTTATAGATCATGCACTGAAGTTAACATTTCATCACATCATGAAATGATTGCAGAATCTCATGATCACAGTGACAAATTGGCTCATTTAGTATAAGACATTTATATCATGGACAGTGTTTGTAATCTCGGCGTGTAATCTGGATGTAACGCATGCGTGAAATTTGAAAATCCGTCAGGATTAACGTTCTCTTGTTACCAGACATGACCTGTGAAGGACAGTTCAGTGTATTCTTCTCCTTCACAATCAAGACTTTCATTATGTTACTTGGTCCTTGTGACTGTGTGCCTCCAATGTAGAAACATTTACAGAGATTAGAATAAGAACAATTTTTCTTTTTTCTTTTTTTTAATTACCTACATTTATATCTGGTAGATCAATTTTATGAGGGCAGTGTTTTGTCCCTCCATATAATAGTCGTCTTTGCAACCAGTTTCTCTCAGCTTACTATAAAGTGTCTGAAAGTAGAGGCTTTATTATAAGAAATTTTGGGTAGTTCTGATAAAACTAAGTGTGGGATATTTCTGAGAATATCCCAGTTTCTATGAATGAAAAGGTCAAATGAGCCTAATCTATTGTAGTGGACTGTAATGTATGTTAAAGCAGTTTATTAGTATTTATATGTTATGCTTGACACTTTTCTTTATATGGAAGCTCTGAGTTCCACGCCCTGTTTCTGTTACTAGGAGCTAATGCCCCAGCTAGCCAGCAGGCTGTTTCTCTGCAGTTGGCTGCTAGCTGCTGGTCCCCAGTGTCTGTTTCTCTCCACCCTATCCTGCCTTTCTCCTCTGTCGCGCTCCCAGATCCCACCTCCTCCTCCCCTCCCTTCTTCTCTCCCATGTTCCAAAAGGCTGCTCTCATATATATGTGTGTGTGATTGTGAGAAAGATTTGATAAGGCATGAGGAGTGTGCGCTTTTGGAGAGAGCGTGCTGCTGGATGGACCATGGGTAATTTATGAAAAAGACTCATTCAGGGGGCTGCAGGAACATGTGGAGGGCCTTAAGATAGAAATGGAAACTGGAGTATGACGTGTCCTGCTGTCTGAGTGCCTGCTTTTTTTTCCTATCACTCTCTTACTCTGTTTGCCCAGGGAGCTGTGATCGGCATAGATGATGAGGACGACAGCACATTCACCATCACTGTGGACCAGAAGACTTTCCATTTCCAAGGTGAGGTGTCCCCCCTTTTGATTTTGTTCTTTTTATGCTTCTCCCAGTTTTCTGCATTGCTGTCCGGCTTGCTTTCTGTGTTCTTTCTCTCTTTTGCATCCATCCCCGCTGTCTGTTTGGTCCCTCTCTCACTCTCTCTTGCACTCATTTTTCCCTCCCCACCTTTTAAAGACTGGATTGGTCTGCTCTAATACCAGGAAACACATGCACACAGGCATCTACACAATGCCCAAGCCTTTTCACTCTTCCCGTGGAACGTCTGCAAGCTCTGTGAAGTTGGACTGATATTTATTTTGGTAAATAAACAAGATTTGTTCCACTGCAAGCTAGACAGATTTCTCTGGAACAGAACGAGCAAGTAAGGGTTATTTTTTCCTTCAGCCCTCCCGACTATAGCTGAGGAGGAAGATTGCTGCTTTCTGTGTCTCAGCAGTTGAGCCGCTGGGATTAATAAGGGAATACTGCTGAGGTAGAAGCTGAGCTCAGGTCTCTTCTGGTTGCTGGTGTTTGCCCTTCGCTACACTGCTGCTGCTGCTGCTTGGTATTGAACCACCAGTCACTCCACAGGGACAACAACAGCATTGCCCCCCCACCCCTCCCGTCCTGCCAACCCTTCCCTCCTTTTTGACAGGGAGCTGTCCAGTCCAGTATACTGCAGACAGCTTTTTTCCACTCTCTCACTCTGCCAGGTCTTTAACTAACCTTCTCCACCATTCCTTCATCTGTCCTTCCATCTGTCCGTTTTTATCCATTTTGCCACACCAACCCCCTCACGCTCCACCGCCAACACCCCTCCTTCACCTCCCTCGCGAGGGTCACCAGCCACAGTCCATGGGCCACCCACCCTTCTCACCTCCTCCATGCCCTCTCCCATGTCTGTGTTCCGAAGCTGTATGCTGTGGTTCTACAAACGCAAGGGTAAGGAGAAAACCATGCACGTCTCATGGTTTGCATGCATGCCAGTCCCGGGCGAAAGGATTGAGAGGAGGCGCTGTTTGGTTGTCTTCTGGGATGTATAGTCAGGGTGGAGCAGTATGTTCTGCAGTACTCGGGAGTACTGGTTTGTTATCAAGGTTCAAGGACAGTTCAGAACAGTGTGAAGCAGGCTGTTCCATGGCTGTCGGCTGTGAGTAATTAATCCAGAGTGGATATGTATTGTCATAGAGTAATCATATGTTTGCACAGATGAGGCGTGTTATTTACAGGAGGATGTTTGTTACTATTCTTTACTTGTTTGGAAAAACAATGAGGTAATGTGTGCTACAGTCAATCTGAGTCATTGGCATAGTGCCTCAATTGCAGTGTATGCAAATGCTGTTCTAATGTAGGAGCCCACATTTAAGAGCATTATTCAAAGACCATCATTGATCCAGTCAAAGAGAGAAATTTGTTTTTGGTGTTGTGTATAAAGGCAATACAGACAAAGCTAAAACGTGTAGTAAATATGTTGGCTATGCAATACACCAAGACATTAGAATTTCAGAAGATTGTGTTAAATTTAACTGTTTCTTGACCAATGACAAATATCTACAATTTTTGGATCAGTTAAATCAGCAGTAGGTATGTTTGAAAGCAACATATCCTTGCACAGGCCCACCCCCTTTATTGTTTGACAGAAAACAATGAAATGTCACCGTGAGGCACATCTGCTTTCCAGATACTCGGAGCCCTACATCATCTCATGTGTCACTATTGGAGGAGGAGAAGGGCTGAAATTGAGAACTGAATGTGTGCTGAACATAATATTCTGGGTATATCAGCTGTTAGCTGGGATATGAAGAGATGCACAGGAAGGAGGATGTCTCTCCATTCCTGTAAAACACTCTGGTCTGAGCATGTTAGGAAGTCAGTCTCCCAGGATTCACAGTAGTATTTGAATGTATCTGTGTGTGTATGTATATATATATGTGTTTCATTCTCTCTGTGTGATGGGTAGAGCAGTATTAAAAGGGGTAAAGAAAGGCACAAGTCATAGAAGAACAGTATTTACCAGAATTTACATTTCTAATGACAAAAATAGTTGTCTGTGTGTGTGTGTGTGTGTATATAGCACATTATCACTGTGTTTTTTGTGATATTGTGTTCTTAGAGGACTGTCCAGTTCATAGGTTGAAGTGTAGGTCTGAGCCGACCAGACACTGTGCTAGCTAAGAGTGCAGCTCTGTACTAGCTTTCTTTCTATTTAGAGAAGCATCTATTATTCATCACCCCCTCTCCCCTGGCGGTGCATCAGAGTTGTCTGAGAGCCCTTTTCCTCTTCCTCCCCCCCTGCTTTCACTGGCCCACTCTTATCTACAGTAGCTATCAATCTCTCATCTCCTCCCCCCACTCTGTCAGGCTTCCCAACCTGCCTCGCGGCATCAGTCCAGGATGAGACCCCCTTCATGCCCCCTCTCTCTTGTAACCTCCCTCCAGCGTCCGTCCTCACTGCAACTACCCTTTCTGTTCTCGTCACTGTTTTTGTGCACTGTGTTCTTTTTGGGAATGCAGCATGACTGGTATATTTAGTTAGAACGGTATTACCAAGTTCATATCCCATATGACCCAGTTTCCACATAGCTGGAGCTAAGTCACAGATTAAATGAGCAAAGCCTTGAACAGATACTTAATCTCACTAAGACAGTGTTACCTTAGTGACCTCCAATTATATTTATTGTGAACTGTGCATTTGCTTTGTAGCCCATCTGAATAACCACAGTATTGACGGATAGCAGTCCAGGCCATTGTAGCACGCACTAGGACATTTCATCAGCTGCTCTGAAGATGGCAGAGGAGGAAACGAAGGGTAGAGACGAACTATTCACAGGGGCCTTTTGGAGAAAGGAGCAGCAGCATTATGGGGAAGAGGCTGAAAATTGTAAAGGGACATCTTATGATGGGTACCCTGACCTCTGACATGAGAGGAAATCTTTTGTTTAGGAAAACACCACTGGTGCTGTTAACTCAGTGTCTTAATTTGTCTATCCAGACATGATATGTCTGTGTGTGGTAACTGTACAGGACTGACACTTGTCCATTATGACATTGTCTTCATGACAATGGTAGATTCATCACTATATATACCAGTGCCTTCGTTATGTACATTTAATGTGCAGGCACATGTAACGGTAACAAGCTACAGTGCTGGAAAATAACCTGTCAAAGAAAGAATTGCAGAAGTTTAAAATGTATCAGCAGATTTTAAAAAATCAGGTCAAGTTTTTCAGGCACATTTGTGTTAAGTTAATTTAAAAGAAGGCCATGACGGTTTTTGCTGTGTAACTAATTTGGCAGTCGTATGAAGTGACATATTAGGTTGGCATAAAAATGATACTGCACCAGTGTTAATGTTACTTTTCAAGTAGGTATAAGCTGATGTCAGCAGTATGCCACTATGAATACATGGGTTAAAGTAACAGTGCAAAAAGGGCTTGAGATACTGTAACACATAATTCTAGTATTCTTGGTTTTAGCTCAAGTCAAGGACCCTGGTGTGTGTTCTAGCTCACTTTCTATCAGCTCTTTAGTTTACACTAAAGTATAAAGGCAAAAATGCTTCAAGATAAAAACGAGTATGGAAATCAAGTAGACAGAATAGAGGGCATGCACATTACATCACTGTACGTGGACGTCTGCTGCTTCTCGCTGAGGGGCAAATGCACAAAAGCTCAGTGTCTGCTGGGTGCATTGTGCTAAAGGTTAAAGAACTGTTGAGCCATTGGCTGTATAGATTGTTTGAGAGAGAATTCAGGCACATGTGCATACAGACCTCTAAAGCCTAAAGACAGGAAATGGATCACTGCTGCTCAGTGAGGCACTATCCTGTAATTGCAATTTTTTAAGGTATGTCATTTTTGAATAAAATATGGGTTTTTATTTCAAGTACTAATAGACACTAGATTACAGGTCAGGTGTTCTCTGTATTATGGTTTAAGTTAATTGTATACTATCAATCAGGTACATAACAGACATATACAGTCAAGCCCGAAATTATTCATACCCCTGGAAAATTCTGACTTAAAGTTACTTTTATTCAACCAGCAAGTATTTTTTGACAGGAAATGACACAGGCGTCTCCCAAAAGATAATAATACAATGTACAAGAGGCATCATTGTGGAAAAAAATATTTCTCAGCCTTTATTTACATTTGAACAAAAAGTGGCATGTCCAAAATTATTCACACCCTTTGCAAACTGTTACAGTCTATGGGAAAATCCAAAGTTCTATACCATTCCAAATAGTCCAAGCTTTTCTAAAGCATCCTAATTACACTGATTCATTGGGAACAGCTGTTTTAATCAACTCAACAGGTGAAAAACAGAAGCTCTCTACTGTTGGTTTGTGGACAGTCATGGCTAAGACAAAGGAGCTCACTGAGGACCTGCGGCTGCACATTGTGGCTGCTCATAAGTCAGGAAAGGGCTATAAGACCATATCTAAATGTTTTGAAGTTCCAGTGGCTACAGTGCAAAGTATTATTACAAAATACAGGACGTTCTGCACTGTGAAAAATCTCAGAGGACGTGATCAGAAGCCAAAGGTGACACCTGTGCTGGCCAGGAGGATAGTGAGAGAGGTAAAAAAAGAATCCAAGGATCACCACCAAGGCCATCTTGATGAATATGGACTCTGCGGGTGGCAACATCTCAAGGCAGGCAGTCCAATGGACATTGCACACCGCTGGGTTCCACGGACGCAGTCCAATGAGGACACCACTTCTCTAGATAAGGCACACAAAAGGCCGCTTGGCCTTTGCAAATGTTCATCTGGACAAAGAAGAAGACTTCTGGTTTTCTGTTTTATGGTCAGATGAAACAAAAATTGAATTGTTTGGCCACAATGATGTAGCCTTCATTTGGTGTAAAAAAGGAGAAGCCTTCAACCCTAGGAACACCATCCCCACTGTCAAACATGGTAGTGGGAACCTAATGTTTTGGGGGTGTTTTTCAGCCGGTGGACCAGGGAACCTAATCACACTAAACGGCACCATGAAAAAGGAGCAATACATCAAAATTCTCAACAACATCAGGCAGTCTGCCCAACCTGAAAGAGTTGGAGCTCATCGCTAAAGATGAATGGGCAAAAATACCAGTGGAGACATGCAAAAAGCTGGTCAGCAATTATAGGAAGCGTTTGATTGCTGTAATAGCCAATACAGGCTTTTCTATTGATTATTGAAAAGGCTATGAATAAGTTTGGACATGCCACTTTTTGTTCAAATGTAAATAAAGGCTGAGAAATATTTTGTTCCACAATGATGCCTCTTGTACATCGTATTATTATCTTTTGGGAGACGCCTGTGTCATTTCCTGTCAAAAAATACTTGCTGGTTGAATAAAAGTAACTTTAAGTCAGAATTTTCCAGGGGTATGAATAATTTCGGGCTTGACCGTATATGTATATATGCTGGTTTTCCTCTTGGTGTGGCAGCTCTACCTATCACGTCTATAGTAGTTGTGTTTTGCAATTCAGCGGTAGTGAGATATGTTGTTTTATGTGAAAATGATTAAAAATGACCTCAACAAATACCCTTAGTTACAAACATGCAGTATTTCCCCATGCTGGATGTGAGTAGACCTCCACTGTCCGTGTAGACGCCAGAACAGTGAACTGCAGTGTGACTGAGGTCTGTTGCTCTTCACCGGCTGTGTATGTGGAAACCCAACATTTTATTTGGCACCAGTAGTCAAGTGTCTTTTTTTTTTCCCCCAGGTATTACCTTTTGCAGTTGTGGGGTTATTTCTGCTCTGAACTTGTGTGTTTATTATGGGTCCTCCTCTAATAAAGGACGTCTGTAACTATTAGGAAGGTACTATATGTGTGGGTGGATTATGTGAGGTGCATTACCTCCTTTATGTGCTTGTTCATCTAGCCTTGCCATTCATCTTGCAGAGAAGTAATTTGAGCCTACGCTAATAGGGTTTAGTCTACGCACCAACCTCTGTTACGATGCTACTTAGCACCTGGGCTACGAGACTGTTTCGGCCTTACTGGATTGGAACAGCATCTTAAAACTCAAGTATGTTGTTAATTGTTTGTGAAGAGTTACAGGAGAAGTTTTTAATATTGTGACTTTTGATTATGATTCTTACTATGCTAACTTCTAAGTAATACTCATAGGGTGGCAGGATACCTGCTATTCTACACCGTGGTCAGACTGTTGTAAACCTTACCCAGATCTTATCCCATCTTGTCCATTCTTCTGAGTTTGACTTGTCCTTTTCTAATTCAAGAAAAGTAAATGTTTAACAAGCAAATGGCTTGCTGATTGCTTGTAGCTAATCTATAACTATGCAGATTAACAATGAAGGTTTATGTCAGATGACAGTGTCATGACTTCTGGCGTGTCACCTCATGTGACCGGCTCATACTGTAGATTTATTGAGTGGACTAACAGCTTACCTGGGGAACTAAATCGCAGGATAGAGGTGAGTTGCAGACTAGGACCAAGATTGGACTTGTAACACAGTTCACACTGTGCAGTAATGGTGTTTGTTTTTGTTGAATGGGAGTGCTACTATTTCTCTTGTGTCATGAATAGAGCCAAACAACATTAGCCGCAGCAGCCTGTTCCTCTGGAGAGTCGGTTTGGCTGAAGGCAAAGTGAGAGGGCACTGAGGTGCAGTTTGAGTGGATTGGCCTGAGACTCGGCTGCCTTTTAATGTCTTTAAAAGCTTTTCTGCTGTAGCACTGTTCAGCCCCTGAGCTAGCACAGCCATTCATCTGCTGCACTGTCTTGTTTCTAGTTCAATGAAAAATGATGCTTTCACAGGATATTGTTTGCCAGGTAATTCAGTGGCATATATCTTTGTTTTTTTTTTTTTTTGTTTTTTTTTTTTCACAGCTCTTAGAGTTATAGTATTTTTACTGTG